TAACCTGGGAGAGTCACCATGCCTTAACCAAGAGGAGAAGTCGAGAATGAGAATTCTGCATGCTAACCTCAGCTGATGCGGGAATTGAACTCCTACTGTTGACATCACCCTGTATGGAGGGTATCTCCAATTTGAAGATGTGATTTCATCTCCAAAAGGAGTGCATAGTAGTTAATTTACGTCTGCTGTGGTATTTAACTTGATTGGGACAAGTCAAATATAATTTTTCCTCTTGATTCTTTCACCACCTATCCTGAAGTTGCCTCAGTTAAGTTTAGCCCATTTCGTAAGTCGTGGTGTTACTGACACGTTCAGTAATGAAAATGAGGTCTCCAGCCTAGGTATTTGTGGGTTCTGGAATCAATATTGTGCTCCCTCAGCAACTTTCCCTCAATTGAATACCACAGTGCCACCACCTCTGATGAGCCTGCCCAGCTAATGGGAGAGAGAATACCCAGGGGATGGTGGTGGTCTGGGACATGGTCATATGCAGCAAATCGTCAGGCTGTTGCTTGAGTAATTCATGGGGCAACTCTTCCAATTTTGACACAAGCTGTCTTGTTAGTAAGGAAGCATTTGCAGGGTTCACAGGACTTGTACCAATGCAAATCCAGGGTGACCCTCAGGTTTCCTTTTGGACTTTCTGGCAGTTTATAACTGAGTGGCTTGCTAGGGCACTTAAGAGTCAACCAACAATATATCCTATTCCACCCACGTTGATGCAATGGTCAAGAAAGCACAACAATGTATCCACTTCCTCAGGAGGCTAAGGAAAGTTGGCACGTCCACAAGGACTGTTACTAATTTTTGTCGACTGTATTGCTATGAGTCTGGAATCCTATGAGGGTCAGACCAACTAAGAATGTCAGGTTCTCTTCACTAAAGTGCATTAGTGAACCAGATAGGTTTCATGGTCAGACAAGTTTCATGGTCACCGTTAAAATAGCTTTAAATTTCATATCTATTAATTAAGATTTAAATTCAGTGAATTTAAAATTCATGGTTGGAGCTTGAGTGCTTAGCAACATGATGTAAAGACATCAACATCAACAAAACGAAGGAGCTGGTCATTGACTTCAAGAAGTGGAGTGGAGAGCACGCCCCTGTCTAAATCATTGATGCTGAGGTGGAGATGGTCGAGAGTATCAGGTTCCTGGTCACCGACAATATATCCTGTTCCACCCACGTTGATGCAATGGTCAAGAAAGAACAACAATGTCTCTACTTCAGGAGGCTAAGGAAATTCAGCATGTCCATAAGGACTGTTACCAATTTTTGTGGATGCACCATAGAAAGCATTTTATCTGGATGCATCACAGTATGGTTTGGCAACTGTCTTCTTAAGACCCCAAGAAACTACAGAGAATCACGAACCCAGCCCAGTCCATCACTCAAACCAGCTTCCAACCATTGACTCCATCTATACTTCCTGCTGCCTGGGGAAAGCAACCAACATAATCAAAGACCCGCTTCCATCCCAGTTATACTGTCTTCCAATGTCCTTCGTTGGGCAGAAGATACATGTACAAATAGATTCAAGAACAGCTTCTTCCCTGCTGTTATTAGACTTCTGAATGGACGTCTTGAATTTTAAATTTAATGCTGATCTTGATCTCTGTGCGCTAAGTCTGCAGCCATAACATTGTATTCTTCACTATTATCTATTACCCTAATGCACTTTGTGTGGAATGATCTGCCTGTAATGCATGCAAAACAAAAGTTTTCACTATACCTAGGTACGTGTTTCAATACTAAATCAAACCAAATTGAATCCATGACACCAGAGCATCAGCCTGGGCCTTTAGATTTTCATCCAGTGACACTATTGCTATGCCGCTTGGGCAACACAGTGGCTCAGTGGTTAACACTGCTGCCTCAAGACACCAGGGCCCCGGGTTCGGTTCCAGCCTTGGGTGACTGACTGTGTGGAGATTGCACGTTCTCCCTATGTCTGTGTGGGTTTCCTCCAGCTGCTCCGGTTTCCTTCCACAGTCCAAAGATGTGCAGGTTAAGTGGATTGCCCATGCTAAATTGCCCATAGTGTTCATGGATATACAGGTTAGGTGGATTAGCCATGGGAAATGCAGTGTTACAGGGGGAGTGTGTGTGGGTTGGATGCTGGTTGGAGGGTTGCTGTCGATGTGATGGGCCAAATGGCCTGCTGCCACACTAGGGATTCTATGTTATCACCTCTAGCCATAAATAATTGATTACTTAGGGATCCCTCATCCTGCTGCTGATATTTTACCCATGGCAGTGTGGTAGGAGACCCTGCCATGCAGGAAGCTTAGCATCTTTGGCATCACTCCTTGATATCAGTGCAGGTTACTCCTTTTGCAACTTCTGACCTCGTTGGTACCTTCCTTTAAAGTTATCCCTTCCATCTGGTCTATTGAATCTTGCTGAGTCAGTCACCTTCCCCACTCAGAAATCCCAATTCCCAAACATGCCCGTCAATACAGGCTCCTCAGCATTGGGAATTGTTTGTAGTCCCAACACAGGAAACTGATCCCAACTGGGACTGTGTAGGTGCCTGGTCAATCCAATTGTCTACCAGCACTTTAATGTGGGGCTTCTCCTGAGAAAAAGGAAAAGACTTGGCTTAAGCAATTAATAGTGCTCACAGCATTAAATTGTTGCACCAAGAGGTGGAATTATATGGGAAACAGGCACCGCATCATCCCATGAAATTTGCTTGCTGTTTCTTATCCTGCTGTCTTGAAGCAAGACCTAGAGTTATCTCATCTGATGTTAGGAAAACAAATACTAGAGAAAAGCATCATGTTATTATCCATTGCAAATAGTAAATGTTTCCTGGAGTTGGAAACCCAAAACTAATTCAGTACATTTCAATCCCTGGAAAACTGAAGCAAGATTTAAGCAATCTGACGTATTGTTAAATCAAATAATTGTAATATCTGAAAAGGGAAAGAGGTAGGAATTTTCAGAGAAGAGAGTGAGAGGTATTACTTCTGCCTTAATGCAGGTGATATTGTGTCTTGGAGGAGTATCATTCTGTTCAAACTCAGTCACTGCTTTGTGTTAGAATACTAGAGGTTAAGTGATTATGGGACTTCCCTCCATATAAATATTATGCATTTGAGGTCCCACCTTGATTTAACTAATTTTTGTCAACCTGTAACTCAGTGACAAAAACAGTATACATTGTTTATTATGATTTGTTGGAAAATGAATCTTTTTGGTTGTATATAGTAAAAGAAAGGTTGGCATACAAGTGAAAGATTATCTACAAGGAAAGGGTGACCACCAGCTTTTGCATAATATGTGGAGAAGCTACATGAAATTTTGAAGCTTTTTGTATATGAATTCCGTTATTGTGATTGTAGCCATCCAGCAGGGATTCCTTGCGGAAGATAGGAACAGGAGTAGGCCATTCAGCCCCTCTAGTCTGTTCAAAAATAGCAGACTTTTCTGTGTTCCTGTTGGTTTGTATTTGAAGAATAGGAAAAACCAAACAAGTTTGGTAGTTAACATTCATTTTCAATACGTGTAAGAGCATTTAACTGGACCTTTTGTGATGTGACAACCATATATATTGCTGTAGACGGAGTTAACTATGAGACTGGATATTAAATCATCAAAATTAACATCACAATCTGTAAATGCTTTACCTCATTTTCAATTTCTATTTTTTGACTATGTGGTTTGTTGTTTATCTACTTGCCTGCTAATGACTGCTCACAAAGGCAATGCAGTTCATGTTGGAGATTTGCTTACAACTGCTGAATTAATATTAAAATAGGAGAAAAGGTAAGCAAGCAAAGTCAAATCTCCATGATGACGAAAGAATAAGATGAAATAAGAATGTGATATGGATGATAGATGTCAGGTTAATAATGCCAGTGACAACTGGACTGATAAAGATGGAGTATGAGCAGGGATTGGCAGCTAAAACAAAAGGAAATCTAAAAGTCTTCCAAAGACACAGAAATTGTGCAAGGGTAATAAAAGGGCATGGCTAACGTACTATATGATACCTTGCTTCGCCTTTACCAACAAAGTAAATGCTGCCAAAGTTGCAGTTAGAAGGAGGTGGTCGAGATGCTGGATGAGCTGAAAGTTGATAAGGAGGAAGTATTAGGAAGGTTCACTGTACTTAAAGTTCGTAAGTCACTATGACTGGCTGAAATGAGTTCAAGGGACATAAGATAGCAAGTTGCAGAAGTATTGGCTGTAACCTTCCAAATTTCTTTAGATACACAAAATATGCCAGCAAATTAGTGCATTGCAAATGTCACTCTTATTGAAAAAGGATAGAAGGATAAATCTAGCAACTGTGAGACACTCAGCTAAACCTTGTTAGGAAATCTTTAGAAATAACAATGAAGAGCAAAACTGGCAATTAGTTGGACAAGTATGGATAAAGAATGCCAACGTAGATTTGTTAAAGATAAATCACGTTTATCTAATTTAACAGAGGATTTTGGTCAGATAACTGAAAGGATTGATGGTGGTATTTGTAGACTTCCACAAGGTGTTTGCTTAAGTGCCACATAATAGGCTCGCCAGCACAGTTGAAGCCCACGAAATAAGTGGGGCAGTGGTAGCATGCATAAGAAACTGGCTGAGTGACAGGAAGTGGAGAGAGAAGATTCAGGAGCCAGAGGATACCGGTACAAGGTAAATAGTAAAGAAACTAGCAGCAATCCAGAAAATGTTTTGCACAGCAAGTGGTGAGGAATGGAAATATACTACCTGAAAGTGTGGTGAAGGCAAATTTGATATAGATAAAAGCTGAGGAGACAAAATTTTGTAGGGTCAAGGAGAAAGGGCAGGAGTGAGAATTCCTCTTGCAGAGAGCCTTATGCTGGGTTACAAGGTCTTTTCATTGTGTTGTTTTACCATAGTTCTGTATTTTATTGTTCTGCGATTTTAAAAATCGATGTCTGAAAATTGGCCTAAGTCCTTGATCAAAGAATTCTTTGAGGTAATGAAACTCTTTATATTCTGTACAGCTCTAATTCCGTTTTATTTTCCAGGCTACATGAGGAAGAGAAGACTGGTAAAACAATTTCCCATAGATTGATACACGCATGCAGTGAAAGTCATATAGAAGATAAAATTCCTGGGAAAACATTAATAGAAAGAATGTTTGGTGGAAAGATGGTGACCAAGATCCATTGTTATCGCTGTCGTAATGTTTCTTTCCGAGAAGAAGCTTTTACAGATCTGTCCCTGGCTTTTCCACCACATAGTAAGACTCTGCAACAATCTGGCAGTTCATATGACTCTAATGTTTCCACAGAGATAACAGGTTCTGATAATATGACATCTCAAACTAAAGCACAACACAAGGCTACTAAATCTCCAATTAAGCAAAAGCAAACAAAGTCTAAAGAGCCTTCAGTACGTGTTGTACCATTTGAAATATTAGCTTCCCATGCAAAAGAGAAAAAGGATGATCCTTCTTACTCTAGAATAAAGAGAGATGATAGTTCCCATCTATTTAGCCCCATGCTGAAGAATGACATTGCAATTGCCACTGGGGAGAAAGCGTGTGATTCGTCAAGTTCTAGATCAGTTTCTGACCTCATAAATTATTTTCTTTCACCCGAAATGCTCTCTGGTGACAATAGATATTACTGTGATAAATGCACCTCTTTACAAGAAGCAGAAAAAATAGTTGAATTAACGAGGAGTCCACATTATCTCATTTTGACCTTGTTAAGGTTTTCCTTTGATCTCATAACAATGAGACGGAAAAAAATTCTAGACAATGTATCAGTTCCATTAGTTCTCAAACTACCCATTAGGATTGCCACAGAAAAAGTTGAACAGATAATTAATACTGAAAAACAGGTCTGCCAACTCGCAAGCTGGAAATATTTTGCAGATGATGCCAAATCCTTGTCAGTTACCTATGACCTCTGCTGTGTAGTGGTGCACTCTGGAATATCTTCTGAAAGTGGACATTATTATTGCTATGGCAGAGAATGTGTTCCTACTAATCCCGAAATTGGTCCAAGAGTCATTTTGGAAGCAGAGAGTAGAGCTGGTGATCAGTGGTATTTATACAATGATACTAGAGTGTCATTTTCATCTTTTGAATCTGTCAGCAATGTTACAAATTACTTTCCCAAAGATACTGCTTATGTGTTATTCTACAGACAACGAGGAACTAGACATACATGCTTAGATGGTGAACATATTTCAGCTAGTGTTAGATTGCACGGAGAAGCAGCATTAAGCAAAGAGCTGATGGAAGCAATTGCCAAGGACAATACTCAGTATTTACAGGTATGTGAATTTACAATGAACTTCAGAATTGCTCATTTGTATGTCTTACTATGTTATAGGGATAGGTGTGACAGTTAATATTTTACATAAAGTTTGCTTCTGTAAGAATTCATGACACTGTTGCTGCAAAATCTATAGTAAACTATCCAAATGTCCACGTAACTTGTATGTTACATTCCAAATGGAGACTAATTTATTAATCTGCTTACTGCAGGACTTTTTTAGTAGTTTATGGAGCCACTCCTAAATCCAGGAAGGATTTCTAACCCTAATCCTCATCATTGTGCTCGCACAACAAATACGTCTTGTGAAAACTCCAAATTGCCTAGGACATGCTCAACCTTTTGTGGAAAACTGTTGCAAATATCTGCTGACCTTAGTGGAAAAAGTCCTTATTGATTTTTGCTCTTGAATGCCTAGCTCTGATTTAAGATTACATCCTTTTTGTTCTTAATTCCCCAATTAGAGGAATTAGTTTGCTCACACCAGCTGATCATGTCCACGCCACTCAATGAAGATCTAACTGCACAAATCCCATTTGCCAGCTCTTGGCCCATAGATCCAGTGGCTATGGCAATGCGAGTGAATACCTAAATACTGCTTAAATGCTATGAGACTTTCCGACTCCAGGGTTTACCCTGTCTAATGCTGTTCAAATTTTATAGGTTTCTGTGAGAATCCTCCCCTCGTTCTTTAAACTCCAGTAAGTACAGTTCTAACCAATCCAGTTTCTCTTCATTAGTCAGTTCTGCCGTGCCAAGAATCAGTATGGTAAGCCTTTTATGCACTTCCTCAATAACCAAAACATCCATCCTCAGATAAGGAGACCAAAACTGCACACAATAGTTCAGGCATGGTCTCACCAAGGCCCTGTACGTTTGCAGCAAGACATCCCTGCTACTGTACTCAAATTGTTTTACTATGAAGGTCAACATATGCAATGGGCCTGCTTCATGCCTGTTGCTCCTGCGTGCTGACTTTCAGTGACAGGGGTACAAGGACAAACAGGTCTCATCACACCACCCCCTTTCCTAATCTATCACCATTCAGACAATAATCTGCCATCCTGGTTTTGCTACCAGAGTAGATAATTTCACATTTATCTACATTATACTCCATCTGCCATGCATGACCACACATTCAACTTGTCTAAATCACACTGAAACATCTCTGCATCGTCCTCACAGCTCATCTTTCCACTCAGCCATGTGTCGAATGCCAACTTGGAGAGTTACATCTAAATCATCTAAATCAGTAATATATAGATAGTGAATAGCTGGGGTCCAAGCACTGATCCCTATGGTACCACATTAGTCACTGCCCACCTCTTGGAAAAACACCTGTTTATTCCTTCTCTTTGTTTCCTAAATGCAAACCAGTTCTCTATTCATGTCAGTTCACTAACCCCAAACCCCATACACTTTAATTTTACATGCTAACCACTTTTACATGGGATCTTATCGGGAACCTTCTGAAAGTCCAAGCAAACCACATCCTCTGGTTTCCCCCTTATCCACTCTTCTAGTTACATCCTCTCAAAATTCCAGTAGATCTGTCAAGCATGATTCCCTTTCATAAACCCATGCTGACTATTTCCAATCCTGTCAGTTTTTCTAAGTGCTTTGCTATTAAATCTCATAGCTCAAACCCTCCAGCTCAGGCAGCATCCTGGTAAATCTCCTCTCATCCTTTTTTGTGCAATCACAAAGTTGTTGTAATATGGTGACAAGAACTGTACACTTTTTTCCACTTGTGATTTTACAGTAGTTTTGTACAGTTCCAGCATAACCTTGCTGCTGTTGTATTCTGTGCCTCAGTTAATAAAGAGAAGTACCTCACATGTTGTCTTAACCTGCTACCTTTAGGGGCCTGTGGAGATGCACACCAAGGTCCCTCTGTTATTAAGTACTTTTACAGAGTTCTACCATTTATAGTGAAAATCCTTGCTTTGTTAACCCTCCCCAAGTGCATTACCTCACATTTTCCTGGAATGAATTCTATTCGCCATTGCTGTGCCCATCTGAGCAATTTGTTGATCTCCTCCTGGAGTGTTACAGTTATTCTCCTCGTTATTTACCACCCTACCAATTTTCGTGTCATCCACACATTTCTTTATCATACTTCTGTATTTAAGTCGAAATCATTAATACACATTACAAACAGCAAGGGCCCCAGCTCCAAACCTTGCAGAACCCCACCGGAAACTGTGTTCCAGTTAGAGAAACACATCCTCTACTGTCACTTTCTGCTTCAATTCATGGGGTCAAGAATACAAGAGAGGTCTCAGAGGAAGCAGACAAAAACAGGTAACTGCAGGTCAGTTAGCTTAATGTCTGTTGTTGGGAAAATATTCAAGACTGTTATAAAAGATGTAATAGAACATTTGGAAATACATAAAATAATTATGCAGCGTCAGCATGGCTTCATGAACAAGGAATCACCAAGAGACACGACCCATTCTCACTGGTCTCAATACACATGGACAAAGGACATGAATTCAACTGGGGCAATGCATCTTTAATAGCACAAGCCAAACAGAGACATGCCGGGGAATTCCCGGAGGCCTGGCATTCCAACCAGAACTCCATCAAAAACACATTGAACTGGACCCAATATACAAACCACTGAAAAACAGAACCAGAAGTAGTACCAACCACCCCAGCAAACTGAGGCAAATATATAAAAAGTGGGACAGAACACCAACGCGGAGGTATGCTGACAATGTTACCTAACAGGGTAATGAAACGTCTGCAATCAAGCACACCAGCTCGGCGAGCAAGTCTACAACCTCATCCACAACCCGAGCTACAAATCTTCTCAAAAACTATAAACACCTATAGGCAACTGGGAGACAATTGGAGATGGGAGACAAATGCCATTTGTCTGAGCACGACCAGAGAACAACTATACTTTCTGGACGAATGCCTCAGAAAACAGGTACTACCACAAAACTTAAAATATAAAACACGGATCAACAGTCTACAGGCATGAAGAACAGCTGCACAGAACAGCCGCAGAATGATAAGGGTTATGATCAACGTTGCCCACAATTGCCTCCACAAATACGAGCGGGAAATTGCACACCAAAAAACTTTATGCTCCAACGCAACAGACCAAGAATGGAACAAGCCATCACCTTACAACAACAAAAGACCAGAACAAAGCAAAGATTAGCCCTGCAAGAAAAACTATCCAAACTCACCCACAACAACGACATGGATAACACAGAAACATGGATCAAGAACATCTCAGTCTGACCACTTACAGACACTGAGAAGACTGTCCTCCTTTGTGGATTGAACTATAACTACAGAAACACCAAAAAATACTGACTTCCTGGCTGCACTGGAATCGACACTAAGAAGAAAGGACTCATGGAGGAAATACAACAGACCATCAGACAGACAATAGTCCCAACACTGAGCAGAAAAGGTAAGTGAAACACATTCAGTACAGAAGAGAAGAAAGACAGAAACATTGTAATCTTACCGATGGACAAAGGATGCGTGACAGTAGTCCTCAACAGAGTCCAGGACATCGAGAAAGCTAACGCACTGCTAGTAGATACTGACACCTACCAACAGCTGGCAATAGATCCAACACCACAGTTAGAGAAACACATCAAATTAACCCTGAAGAAATTACACAACTCAGGAGATATCAGCAAGTCAGACTATAAAAAATGAAGCCAGAGGGATACAACACACCACGCTTCTATGGACTCCCTGAGGTACACAAGCCAAAGGTCCCCCTCAGACCCATTGTCTCACTACCAGGCACGCCAACATGTAGACTAGCCAAAGAACTACAATGGAAACTGAAATATTTAGTTGTTAACACTACCCACTCCACCCAGTCTTCCCAAGAATTCCTCAACATCATGAAGGATGCTGGAATAGAAGAGGACAAGATAAAGATATCCTTCGACATAATAGCACTATTTACATCCATAACCATGACCTAGCCAAAGAGACAATTCCACACTGCTAAATGAATCAGGAAGGCAGGCACCCCACGACACTAACACCATCAACAAGGACAGCACCCTGAAACTGCTGGATCTGTGCCTCACAACCCACTTCACTTTCAACGACCGTATATTCAAACAAATCAACAGAACACCAATGGGATACCTATATAACGACTGATTGAGGAAGTGGTAATGCAAAGGTTAGAACTAACAGTGCTCCCCACTATACAGCCCAAACTCTGGGTCCACTATGTAGATGACACCTTCGTGATTATCAAACACACAAGATTAGAAGAAACCCACCGACACAAACAATATCCTCACCGGAATAAAATTCACAAAAGAAGAGAACGATAACTAAATAAAAACTGAAAGAACTGCAGATGCTGCAAATCAGGAACAAAAACAAAGTTGCTGGAAACGCTCAGCACGTCTGGCAGCATCTGTGAAGGAAAAAACAGAGTTAACATTTCAGATCCAGTGACCCTTCCTCAGAACCGACTACCCTTGCTAGACATAATGGTAAAATGTAAGAACAATGGGGAACTCCCGATTAGCGTATACAGAAAGACCACACATACGGAGCAGATACTTAATTACACCAGCAACCACCCCAACATCCATAAATGGAGCTGTATCAGGACATTATTCAAATGAGCCACAACACACTGCAGAAACCCAGAATTGCGCAAAGCAGAACAGGAGCACTTACAGGAGTTTTTAAAGGGAATAAATACCCAATTCACCATTACCTCCGCCAATATGGCCAGACACACTATTCATCCTACTGAATGTCAGAGATGTATCAGAGATTACCACAAGACTATTCAGACCCCGAGGTTTCAGGGTAGCCCCAAACCAGCAACCACCCTGCAACAGCTACTGACGAACATGAAGGATCCCATACCCATAACCAATAAAACTAATATAATATACAACATACTGTAGAAGGACTGTGAAAACCATTTGGTATGCCAAACGGGAAGAACACTGACAATAAGGATTCAAGAACACCAACTAGCAACCAAGAGACATGACCAATTCTCACTGGTCTCAATACACACATACATGAAAGGACATGAATGAGACTGGGACAATGCATCCGTAATAGCACAAGCCAAACAGATACATGCCAGAGAATTCCTGAAGGCCTGGCATTACAACCAGAACTCCATCAACAAACGCATTGAACTGGACCTGATATACAAACCACTGAGAAACAGACCCGGAAGTAATACCAACTACCCCCGCAAACCGAGGCATATAAGTAACAAGCGGGACAGAACGCTTCACCGGAGGAGCACTGATGATGTTGCCGAGCAGGGTGACGAAACGTCTACAATCAAACACTGTGGTTCGGTGAGGAAGTCTACAACCTTATTACACCTTTATAAAACATTATTTAGGCCACAGATAGAAAACTGTGTGCAGTTCTGGTCGCCACACTATCAGAAGGATGTGATTGCGCTGGAGAAGGTGCAGAGGAGATTTATCAGGATGTTGCCCATGATGAAAATACTCCTTTGTGTGGAGAAACTGGGTAGGCTTGGTTTGTTTTCTCTGGAGTAGGGGAAGTTGAAGGGCTGGATCTTACTGAGGTATACAAAATTATGAGAAGCATATATAAAGTAGATTGAGAGAATCTTTTCCCCGTGGCAGACATGTTTAAGACCAGAGGCCATAAGTTTAAAGTGAAGAGTAAGTGGTTTAGAGAGGATCTGAGGAAAAAGATTTTCACACAGGTGGTGATAGAAATATGCAGTGTGCTACCTGAGAAGCTGGTGGAGGCAGGTACTCTTGCAACACTTAAGAAACATCTGGACAAGTACTTAAAAAGCCAAGGCATAATAGGCTATGGTCAAATGCAGGTAAATAGGATTGGCATAGTTTGGTGTTTGTTGGTTGGCTTAGACATGGTGGGCCAAAGGTCCTATTTTCATGCTGTTTGACTCTGACTCTGTAACAGCTCTAACTTCTCTACAATTACTGTAAAGGTAGTTGATAGCCATGTTTTAGAGTTGAGTGAGCATGCTATAGGCCACTTCAGCTTCCAGTGACCCATCTAGAATTGAGAAAGTGTATCCTACCTTTGAAAGTAATATTGGAGTGATATGTCTTGCCTTGAATGCAGTGGATTATCTGGAAATCACCAGCTAAACCATCATATATTTTGCAAGTTAAACTAAATGGTTAAATTATTTACTTAAAAGTATTTTGTGTAGATGTATCAAAGCAATATAAAACTAACCCAACACAGTTACAGAAGTCTGTTGACTGCAAGTTGCCATTTTGTCTCTACAGTTGTAACAAGTAGATGGTGCAGTTACCAGAACACACAAAATGTAAAGGCGATAGTGGTATTATGCAGTTCCTGAGAATGAACCCTGAATATCTACTAGGAATAGAAAATTACTGTATTGAGTAATTGAAAGAATGTTTTGTATCAGAGCAAAGGTTGCTCTAATTTGAGCATATGTGCCTTTTGGGACAACATTTTAATGTATCTAAAGAAAATGAGTGAATACTGCATATGTTGATTTGTATAACTTTTTTCTAGGAAGAAGAAAAGGAAGCCCGGAAAAAATCTGACTGTATACCACTTGCTACAACACCAATATGGTGGAGACGATTCGATGATGATGAAAATGGAGGTTCTTCTGGAAGTTGTGGTCCAGCTGCTGGGAGAGGCAGTGATCTGGGGTCATTTGGACGTCTAATTTTCTAAATATAATTATGGGTTTCATCATTCTCTACCTCAGTTATACTACTTACTTGGAAAAGGCTACATGACTTGGTCTTTGAAGAGATCAAAAGAGACTTGCCTTTCAAGCTGCTCAAAATGTTTGCCTGTAATAGCTTTCTGCTTTGTATTGTTAAGGAAGTAACAACTGACAATTTGTGGAATTGCTTTAGTAAAAAGCATAATTAAAACATATTTCAGTAATGGCGCGTAAACAAAATGCAACAAATATGATAAGTGCTGGGTTTTACTTCCAAAATAATATAATAGAAATAATAAACAGAATTGGAAATTGTTGAAAAAGCTCAGCAGGTCTGGCAGCATCTGTCGAGAGCAAGTATAGAAGTTCTGAAGAAGGGTCACTCGACCCAAAACGTTAACTCTACTTTCTCTCTACAGATGCTGCCAGACTTGCTGAGGTTTTCCAGCAATTTCTGATTTTGTTTCTGCTTTCCAGCATCTGCAGTTCTTTGGTTTTGTTTTAATAGAAATAATATCCCTTGATCTTCAATACCTATTAAATTCCTACTACTGAGGCTCTTTGAAGGCATTCACAGACTGTTTTATGAATGTCATTGGTTTTAGCTATAAACTTGTGACATTCTGTTGCTGTCCTTTGGAATTTTTTTCTCCTCTCTAGAGGTTATTTTTATTTAACTCGTTAACGCCACCCTGACTTTTAAGATGACTGCAGCGGGATATGTGTTCGCTAATAATGTGCCCTTTCTTAGAAAAGGCAGCTAGTTAAGGGGTTAATGCTGGGCTTTCCAGGTGAGATCAGAAATTTTTAGGAAGCAAACATTCTTGGTGATGCAGTTGTACAGCATGTTGGCAGGCTGCCCTCTACTGTTGACAAATACCATCCTCAGCCTGCCCATTACAACGATCCCATCCGTCTGTACATGAATTCAGAATTATCATTATCTAGAAACATAAAAAAATTTAACTCATTGAAGTGGTAGAAGGCCATAATGTCAGCATTGATCCTGATATCATGAATTAAATGTCTTCACTGACAGGCTCAATTGGTTGCCTGAAATATCATCTTTTGCATCCAGAATAAGAAAAAAAATCTGTGTTAATACTTGTTATCCAGATATTTGAACATCGTAGTAAAACCCAGTTCTTTCAGTGGAATGAAGATTTTATTTGAAGGCTTAGTGAGGTGCATCAAATGTTCAGTTCCATCTGCATCTATCCCTTTCATTATATGATTACTAAACCTATGCATCTTTTGGAACTCCATACATGAAGTATATTTGAAAAAGTACTGTAACATCAATGCTGATTTTTGCACTGGAAAATAATTTTGCCTTTTACAAACAATCCTCTTTCTTGGCTGAAGTGCCATTATCAACTGAGTTATTTTTGCTGCCAGTTAAGAAAATAATTGGATGGATGTGGAGGTGGTGATGGAATTTAGAATTAGGTAGCCCATCATCATCAAGAAACACAAAAGTCTGTTTAATGTAAGTGGAAGTTTTACCCTCAACTGACTCTCATTTATTCATCATAATAGTCAGAGCTATGCATTCTAGAGTTCTTAAACAACTTGTTACCCAATTCCGAGATGAGAAATAAGGAGACCACCTGACAAATTAAAGAGGGACAAGAAATTATTTCAATAAGGGGGAAAAACATGCAATTTAAGAACTTCCAGAAGGGAGTAAGTTGCTTCATTACTGCATCAGCCAAGAACATAAATGACTTGAACAGCAAATTTTACAATATGTATTTTGATATATCTTCAGGGTCTGTATATCTGTGTTCGTAAAAAGGTTATGAATCAGTTGAACCACAGTTCTTTTTATCTTTACTAAAAATTTGTCCAGAGTCTTATCAGTTAATTGTATGGCTACTAAATACAATGAAAGTAAGGATGCATTGTGCAAAACAAATTTCTGAAAGAAGTGAACCATGTAAACCTGTGCATTTCTTTTTTTTAAATTAACAATCTCTCAAGAATGGCTGCAAACCTGTCCCGTGTGAAATGTAAACTAGTTGCAGGTATAGTTCTAATATAGTTAAGGCAGTTTCATAGTGGGACTTCTTTGATTGACAAAGACACATCATTCAGGACACTTGATTGTTTTGAGTAAATTGACATATTTTGAAAAGGCGTAACTTGAAGTGTCCCTCTTGCCCTTTCAGTTTTAAGTTGGATTTGGGCTAAAGGATTAAAAAGGAACTTTAATGACTGTTTTACTTTGAAAAATATGCAGAAAGGATATTTGGAAATGCAGGGGCAAATTCAACTTTGGTCCAAAACTGTAACAAAACATATTGAGCAGAGTGTAGAACTGGTGGTTGATCTGATATTGTCAGTTTTTCATCCTTGCTAAAGTTAACTTTCACTCTCTAAGTCTCTTCTGAGGTAATACCAAGTATTACAGTTAAACATTTTAAGATCTCAGGAGTTGTGACTTCTCCAAATAAATATTCTAGGATAGTTGGATTTTGAATTACTGAATGTTAGCTGTCAATATTATCTTAATGTTAAACTGTATGGTGTGAAATTGTAAAATTGGTGCACCCAGATCCAGAATTTAAGGTACTGTTGCATGACTGGTGAAATTATTGATGCTTATTTCCCCTTTGTAAGTAGTTGGCAGAAGTTCTCTGATTAAAACAACAGGTAAATCTATAGACTGGCAGCTAATTTTGGTACTTCACAATTTTATATTTGTGTGATAGGACATAAATTAGATGTTTTTTCCTTCCTAACCCTCCTGTCTTAATTCACATACCTAGTCCCATAGTTCTGCTGTATCTTTCTTGGCTGTAAGTAGAAGAAATAGGCTGATACATTTCAAGCATTTTTTTTTTGTAAATCCCTAAATAAATAACTCAGAAATTAGCAAAACAACTTGCTTTAATCATCAGTGATTGCTTTAGGCAGGCTGCTATATATAAAAATATGGAGTGAATATAGAAAATTTGGTATCTGTTAAACAATTTACATGCTTTCTCTAATGCCAGAGTTTTGGATTTGAAATGTGAAGATGCAATGCCTTAATCCTTGATGTTTCCCTATTTATGTATAATTCTATACTTTCCCTCAGAACTACAAATTAATGTAAACCTATGTTTTTCGTTTACATCTAGACTGTTATATGGAACTATTCTAGTCAACCAAGAGAACTAATATAGAATGAAGACCTGTGTTGACTAAGTATTAATTGCAGAAATAGCCAAGTGAATTTATTGTGAATACACTTCTGTTCATGGCAATATATTTATTCTTCTTTGTATTGATTAATGGAATTGTATAAATTGTATAAAAGAATGGTTATTGAAAAGCCTTAACTCTTGCTGTTTATGTATGCAGCTGTAGTAGTTTACTATCATAAAATGTAGAACAGATACAACTAAGGAGATAAATTCTAGTTATGCTTTCCAGAATAATTCAGATTAAATCATTTTGATAATGTGTATTTTTTTCAACAACATAAGACAGTATCATGATCACTATGTAAAAATGAAACTTAAAAATTTATTGTAATAATAAATATTGATATAATGCTTCATCTTTTGCTGCTTCTTCATCCTTTTTCTGTCTCACCTGTTAATAAGTCAAAGTTCAAGATCAGGTAAAGCTTTTTTTTTGGAATAGTGGGTGTGTGGAAAAGATGGACACAATAATGGTATTACCTGGATAATTATATTTCTTAGCTAGTTACATATTTTCTAAATAACTAAGTGACATAATTTGATTAATTTTCTCTTTAGACTAATGAAATTGAATAAAGACTAGTTTTTCCCCAGTGTTTGTTTGCGTTTTAAGCAGCTTTCATTTTGCTTTTGATCTTTGAAATATGTGTTCTAGCCAAAACAGTGTGTACAAAAACATGGAAGAAAGTACCACAAGCGCCAACAACGCCATCCCATCAGATGTAGTGCGTCCCAGTTTGCTCACAAATCCACAGTGCAATCTCCTCGGAGAGACAAACAACAAATAACTGACCATTTTGGGGAAATAAAATCAAGTTCCTAATTAAAAGATTACAGTGAATCCAAAATGTTTAGAAAATCTTTTTCAGACTCTATTCTCCTTCCTCGTTTTTCCTTCTGAGTAGGTTTTATATTGACAAGATTTATTCTTTAACTCATCCTGAGACATTTATTATCAATAGATGGCTTGGCTAGACCATGGGATGGAATAAACAAAATTGTTTAATTTGGTGCATAAGTTACAGAATTAGCAAGGAGAGGATGACTTTTTGCAACTTAAGACTTTATGGCTGTACCATTGAAGAGGATCTTAACTAACTTGGCAGGCTTATGAAAACCAGGAAGTAATATTAGCATGGCAAGTCACAGAAGATGTAATTTGGAGAGAAACTTTGTACTAGAACAGGGAATAGTGTAATATTAGATTGAGTTATGGTAAAAAGTCTAAATTAGACTATCTGTGTGTGAATGTGATGAGTGTAGTAAATAAGATTGTTGCATTTGAAGGTAGTGGGGTAATGTTGATAGATTATTAGTCCAGAGACCCAGTCTAATGCTCTGGAAATGAGAGTTCCCACTCCAGCAGCTGGTGGAATTTGAATTAAATTAATAAATCTGGGATTTGAATCTGCATTCGCTGATGATATGGTAGAAGACCCTTTGGAATTGGGCATTGGATGTAAAGAAATACCCATGGATCAGAATCATCTCCCATATTTTGGTTATCACCAGTTGGTATTTGTTCTAAATGTAACATACTTGATTTATGCACCAGAAGAACACACAATGCATAGCGAGGAGTATAGGATTCAGGGAATTCCAGGGCTGGACAGATGAGGCAAGAGCCTGTATTGCAAAACTGTATCGCCAGGTCCTACTTAACCCCAAGCTCAATACCAGACCAGTATCTATTAACACAACATGAGAAGAAAGCCCAATACCATTAAATTGGCTACCTTGGGCCAGGACAAGAGGCAAAAGTGGGGAAGAAAGAGTTAAGCAAGAATTAAAGTTTCAGTTAGAAATGGTTTTTGTAAAATAAATGTAAGAAGTATAGGAGATCAGATATAGTTTAGACATGACAAGGAATGAGGCGAGGGTAAAGAACCAGGCCAGGGAGAGTATGCTAGAAACAAAACAGCTGAAGCTGCACAAATGCAAGATAATGGAAGGCTTTGGATGTATATGAACAATTTCTGATGTATGTACTGTGAGAAGTAAGTAAACTCATACTGCGGACATCTGTTTAGCCTGCAATTTAAATTGACAGGATTAAATTGGGCAGCACTGTGGCTCAGTGGTTAGCACTGTGGCCTCACAGTGCCAGGAACCCAAGTTCAATTCCACCCTCGAGTGACTATCTGTGTGGAGTTTGCACATTCTCCTCGTGTCTGTGTGGATTTCTGCCGGGTGCTCTGGTTTCCTTCCACAGTCTAAAGATGTGCAGGTTAGGTGGATTGGATATGCTAAATTACCCATCGTGTTCAAGGATATGTAGGTCAGGCATGAGAAATGCAGGGTTTCAGGAATAGGGTAGGGGGATGGGTATGGGTGGGATACTTTTCGGAGGGTAAGTGTGGACTTGTTGGGCCAAATGGCCTGTTTCTGCACTGTAGGGATTCTATGGATTCTACAATTGAGTATATGACCTCAGATGTCTGTATAAGATGGGAGCTTGTATTGTTTTTTTCCTCAAAATTTAGTCTTAAACTGCCTAAAGTTGACTCTCCTAGCATATGCTTGAATCAAGAATTGTAACTAGTACCTGAGTCTCCTGGTACTTGGTCAAGTTGTACTGCAAAGATGTTTTTATGTCAGAAGAAAGTAAGAAATGCAACCTATTACAGCACAGGCTTTGAGCCCAAGTTAGTCTGGCCATGATCTAAATTGATAAAGTAGCCCCAAGTTATTAAAAGTCAAAATGGTAAAAATGAAACTTTGTACGTGCACATTTAGTCTCCAGTCAGCTTTACACATGGTTGGATCTCTGGTCAGTTAACCAACATTATCCCATTATTTTGAGGTCTTTAGTAGTTGACTATTGACCACTTGGCTGCAGCAGCAAATTCTGGAAGCAGTGTGCTTTTAAGCCAATCTTCTGGTTCCACCCCAGCCATTTGAGTCTTCCATTTTTAGTTTCTCAAAATGTCTGAACAGGGAATGAGTCTATCTCTCAGACTTAGCAAAATCTGCAACTCTAGTAAGCCTAGGTTGTTGACTAATCCTTGATGTTATCTCTCAATTGTATATCATCTGTTAATTGAACTCCATCTCATTTACCTCCCTATGTTAGGTCCATTCAATTGACTTGGCCTGAAGTTTAAAGCTCATCATGATCAATATAATAAGGACAGTTCCTCTTTCTAGGGACAGAAGAGTATCCAGTCAAGGAACAGCTGGGTATTCTTGGGAACAAGGCCAAAATCCATGACGAGCAATTGTCCATTGCTACACATTGCAAATTAATTTTGACTTAAAGCACAATCACACTTTGGTTGAAATCAAAGTTTACAAAGTGCAATTCCAATTCAGATGTATTTAAAGGTCAAAAGTAGATCAAAAATGAGATGTGAAAAGGTAAAATTGCAATATTAGTGATTTCTGGCTGTAGGCCTACACTTTAGTGGTGGGTACGCTTTTAGAAATTATAATTTAAGACAGTTATAAGACACTTGAACAAATTGGATTAATTTAAAAAGCTGGCACTAATTTATGAAGAGAAAATCACATTTATCCTGGTATAGTGTTTTGATAAGGCAACAGAGGGTTGATGAAGGGAATGTTTGATCAGATGTACATGGACTTCCAAAAAGTGCTGTTAAAGTGCTAGATAACAGATTTGCAAACAAAGTTAAAGCTCAGAATAAAAAGGACAATAGCAGCATGGGTATGGAATTTGCTGAATGACTGGCAAGAGGTGATGTTTTTCTTTTGTTTTAGACTGGATGAATGTTTATAGTGAGGTTCCCAGAACTCTATGTTGGGACCTGTAAACAAAAGTCACCATAGTCCCAGAGGGCTGCTTTCTTAGAGAGAGGTGACTGGTGGGGAGTTTAATTTGAGGATCATCATGCCACAGGCGAGGGGGAGGTTGAGAAAGTGGGACCTCTGTGGTAACCTCAACCAGTGTGGGAATTGAATCCACATTGTTGGCATCACTGACCAGCTATCCAGCCATCTGAGCCAACTACAGCATTAATACTTGTTAGTTGTTGGAACTTCCATTTTATTAAACGTGAAAGAGAAAAAGTTTCTTGTTAAAGCATCAAATGGGGTGAAGAATGAAATGGAACTGGGGTCCAGGACAGCTTTGAGATAATATGAGGGGATGCTGATGAAGAGCACAGTTGAGAGTGTGCATGTGGTGGCATATGGCATTGAGTATTGACACGCCTCAGTAAGGTGGCGTGCTGAAAAGCAAGCCCTGCTATGCCAGATTTATCACAAAAGTGAAAGATTTTCTGAAAATAAGTAAAATTCCACAATTCTCCTTTAGACCAAAAAAGGCAGAAAGCACAGACCAGGTTTCTGTACTTAACAAGAATTGCTATTTATTACAAAATAAATAGCTTCTAGCTCCTGATAATTATGAACTGTCTGCATATAACTTTGATAGTTAAAACTCTAACTCCCATGTAAAACTCCCCATACACAGTGTGGCATTTGTCCCACAACAGGGTATAATCAGCAGAATCCACTATTGGCTCTGAGAATGCGCCATGGACAGTAGACACCAGTGGCTGAGTTTTGTTTATTGACACCAACCACAATTTTGACCAACAATTGGGTCTCTTCAGAACCTCAGGGATCAGATCTCAGGATATAAGATCAACTCCTTCTGTACTAATGTAAATTTGAGAAGCAATATTTTTTGATTTTGGTTAAACACACCTGACGTGTGTAAGCTGTAAATTACACAGGCATTTGTCATTGATAATTTAACAGGGAAGGTAGGAGCATCAATAGTGGGAGCCACACTTGAAATGTAAAAGAATGTGTTGGAGATTACGAGTGTGTACTTCATAGGCTTTCTAAAGAGGTTCTGAAATAAATTAACTTGAGTTAGTAACAGTCCAGAATAAGTTAGCCTATAGTGTGATTTCTTTTGTGCTGTACAGCTAGATTTTTAAAAAAGAATGGATATGGTAAGCAGGTTGCAAAGAGAAAGTAATGATGAATATCAAACCACTGTTCTAAACAACAATGGATTCCATTAGAAACAAAACTGCTCTTAGGCTGACACTGGCATTGGATACTGATTTACAGACAGAAACTAGCAAAATAAATTAGAAGATGGTAAACAAAGCAGCTATATTTCACTAAAATAGCTCTGTGTCAGGTACAACAACTTGCTGATCAAAGAGCAGTTGCAGAAACTGTCTCAAAGACCAGGACAGGTGTTCTTGGGTCTTATCAGAAGCCACTTGTCCCATGCCATGACAGTGTCAGTGTGTATGAATAGGAAGCTGGGACCACAGGACAGACAAAGACAGAGGCGATAGGGAACCATAAAGAACTGACCATTGTGGTCAGAGAGGAGGTCATAACTTTACAAGGTCTCTTTCCCCTGGTGA